ATAGTTGTTGACACAACAATCTATTAAGTGACAGGTATGCTTGATTCTTGTGCTTCACACATTAACATCAGAACCTACCTTCTGAAAGGTAAACGAGCATGTGCACATGAACATCAGAACCCACCTTCTAAAAGGTAAATGAGCATGTGCGATGCAACATGCTCGAACTCTTCAACACTAGCAATAAACTCGTTAGTTAATTCTTTTATTTATGAATATAATCAGTTATACATTCACGATCTAATGCTTCAAAATATCCATCTATACAATAAATATAGCTCTATAAATTAAAGCTCCTACACATTACACATCTTATTTGAAACACTTGGGTCACCTATACGCCATACCTAAAACCTAAAGCCTACAAATCCATATAATCAACTAATTAGCCCATTAACACTCAAACTAACCCATCAACTAACCATTACAATATTAAATTACTACACTATTATCATACCCTTTGACCAAATCAAAATCAACACTAGCTTAATGTCACTCAAAACTTACATAAGACAAATTTCTTATGTATTTACATATGGCACGCCTAATTCTCATTTTTACATACATAACACACATTTCTTATGTATTTACATATTTCACACCTAAATTTTCGTATTTACAGACATAACACAAATTTCTAATGTATTTACATGTCTTCCTAAAATTTCATATTTACATATATAGCACAACTTTTCTTTTTTATTTACATATCTAACAGCTAAATTTCATATCTACATACATAGCACAAAATCTCAATTTTATTTACATATCTCACACCAAATTTTTCATATTTACGTACATAACAAAAATTCCTTATGTATATACATATCTCACACCTAGGTTTTCATATTTACATAGATAGCAAAAAATTTTTAAGCATTCACATATCTTACACCTAAATTTCATATTTACATACATACCACAATTTTCTTATGTATTTACATATCTCACACCTAAACATAGAAAAAATCATAAAATTCATATGCATTGCATATCTATAAATGGAATAAAAAAAAAACTTGAGCAAAATTTTTGTATTTTCGGATATAGCAACCAAGAATGAAAGCTTATGTTAAACCAAAGCTTAGAGGCTTCATGAAGATTTCTCACATTAGATGGGGTTGGAGCGGTGAATTGGAGTTATATTCGCTGAAGAAGCTAAGGAGGCTACAGAAGCGTTGAAATCAAGCCGAAAGAGAAGAGGACACGAAATAGAACTGTTGTTCGCGAGAGCCGTATTTTAGAGCTCTTGGGTTGGAATTAACATCGGCCATGACCGATGCTAATAAGTAAGATTAGCGTCAGCGATAGCTGAGGCTAATCCAACGCTATAGTGTCGTCTTCACGACTTTTGCTGACGCAACTCGCCTGCGTCGTTTTTTTTGGAAGTGAAACCATAGGGCTACACTAATGGATGCTAATCGATCGATAATTTTCCATCAAAAAATAATTTTGATGCCAATTTATAGTATTTCTATAGTGTTCGATAACCAAACCAAATTAACAAACCGATAAAGTCTAGCCGATCATATTAGTCCTTCCAACCCAAAGCTAATCAAACTCACCCGATTAGCAACACTAGTTGATCGAACCAGCCATAACAAGTCGAGGCCAAACAAGCTCAATCGACCGAGCCAACGAGTAGCCGAGCGATAAGTTCATACATGTAAAATACCTAAAATATTCCGTACAACCCCTATTGAAAGCATGGATAAAAATGTAATGCCACTATTGTTTTAACATCTCCCCTATAAATAATGAGATCATTTTATTAGAAAAGATGGTTAGAGAAGATGTATTACTGTTCGCTCATCTCTCTGTCTCTCATTCTCTCATTTCTTACACTCTATTCCTTGAGATGTGATTCTAAAGAATCAAAATTCAAAAATAATAAATCAATCATTGAACTTAAAGATTTATGAAAACTTTTTTCTTTCCTATAAATCGAGAAACGACATGATTAACTAAAAAAAAACTACAAATCCTATTATATAAATTACATCCTACAAAAATTAAGGAATGTTTGACATCATTTTATTATGTACATTGAAATTAAACTGCCATAGAATGATATGCTGATTGAAAATCAAGGAAACTAATAACTATGCAATCATTGAAAGCATGCGTCAACGTTTAAATTATAATCTATTAGAGTGAAGTGCAAAATTGAGGAATATTGCAAAACTCAGAATTATTGCAAAACTCAGAATGTTTCAAAAAAAATGAAGGAGAATTTTATTTCAACCTGCCCCTCTGATTTAAAAAAATATTGCATCATGAGTCCAATGAAATCACGCCACGTAGAGATGACAGAAAATAAAATCGGTCGGGTAAGACTGGAGAATATTCCCCCGTGATATTTAGGTGTTATTATATGTTATTCATGTGCTATTGTATTCTGGAAATATTTCAGGTGTTATAATTATACTTGAAAAACACACAATAACACTTGAATAACACGGGATGAATATTCCCTTGTATTACCAGATATATTTTATTTTTTTCTGTCACCACCACGTGACATGATTTCATTGGACTCCGCACCTAACTCTACATGCGGAGTCCTGGTGCAATATTTTCTCCTATGATTTGTCACAAAACCAAAGTAGGAGGCATTAAAAAGAAAATATATATATATATATATTTTTTTTAAGAGCTCCGTAAAGGTTATTTTAATTTTTAATATTTAAGAGAATGGGAAAATTTACATACCTACCCCACTGTTCTTTTGGATTTACATATCTAGCTACAAAAGTTTGATATTTTCATTTATAACACCTTGGTCCTCCAAAACTATGCATAAGAAATTACATTTGGCCTTTAAAAAGTTTATAAAATGATTTCCTTAATGTGATGCTTACATTTTTTAGTGTTATGAATGTAAATATCATTTAAATTTAGGTGTTAGATATGTTAATACATAAGAATTGTGTGTCATCTATAAAAATTGCTTTTTCTTCTATGAATTTAAATTTAGTATATTTTCAACTCCTACCTAACTCTTATTATTGTCACCCTCTTTAAACAATACAACTAAATTTAAGAATACATGTTGACATGTTCTTCCATAATATTAATGGATTATATTAATTGAGATTTCGTGTGAGGTTAAAGAATATGATAAATAAGTGAGTTCATATTAATACGGCACCCTTTTTTTTTTTTTAATTTGTTGTCTCCACTCAAAATAATATATTTATATATATATATATATATATATATATATATATATTTTTCAGGCACTTCTCCTCTGAATATATATATATATATAACATGATTAAGCTTTTAAAAGAATCAGCTAAATTAAGCTAATTCATAGTATAAATCCAAAAATTATTTCCTAGACCAATAATTGAAGCTTACTAAAATAAAGTTATGGATACACATTTTTATTTTAATTAAATTATTAGAATATATCTTCTTCGAAACGTGGGCTTCCCCATCGCCGTTAACGTGGCATGTTCGAAGTCTTATATGAGCTACAGTTTATCAAGGGCACGAATCTTAATGTTGACTGACGGTGATATAGCATTACTTACGGGTGCGTAACCGATGCATATTTTATAAGAAGAGGAGGCTGGCGGCGCTTCGAGCATTATGATGCAGTAGCCTGTGGCTGTACAAGGCCCGCTGAAGCCCATCCGGCACAGGCCATGCTAAATTAAATCACGTGTCACGCCTTTATTGGTGAACTCGACGCGCTCGATGTGGTCCCCACAATGCGGTGGTCCAACCGTCCAGCCCACCTTTGTACGCCACATGTTAGCTTTCATCGAAGGAAGTTAACGTTCGCGGTCAATTTTTATGGTCCCCACCTCTTTTAATAGGTGACGGGGCCACAATGCTAACAAAAAGGTTTCGGACTGTAAGTGTTAATTTAGCTCCTTAATATAAGTTTTTTCTAGCTCGTTTATAAAGAGCCGAATACAAATAATTTCGACTCAATTAAAATTAGCCAGATATTTATGATGCTTAGATTTTTTTTTTAGTACTATAAATAGTGAATTTCTATATAAAAAAAATTCAAAAAAAATAAAAAAGGCGAAAGAATTAAATGGTACTGACTAGACTATTTGTATTGGCATATACTCGGACTTAATTTGAATAAAAACTGTCAACACATTAAAATTTTAATATATATTTAAAAATTTCACATGAGACTTCCAATCTAATCTTTAATTTGAGTATTATTATTTTTTACATTTAAAATAGAATTTGAAATTTATTAAGAAATCATAAATACCTTAGTTATAATACATGACATTTAAGATAGTTAACGATGTGATTTCGAGCCAAGCTGATGACGGCTCAAAATCTACTTGAAAAAATTTGATCCAAAATTTTTGCTAGAAGCTCGGCTAGTTTAGTTCGATCCGAGCAAAAAATGAATCATTTTTCGAACTATTAACGTTCTCAAGCTAGATTCAGTAAATTAGTAGTCAAAATATCACTAGATTATTAATGATTGAATTTTGAGCTCAGCTAAGGTTGACTTGAAATTTACATAAAAAAAATTAAATAAAAAATTCTTATTGGTTGCTCAGCTCGTTCATTTCGATCCAATCTTGATCCTAATATTGATCCTAATTAAAATTGAGATCAAATTATCTTCTTAGAGCTAAATTCACACTCCTAGTGATATGATTAAAATTCAATAACAATTGATGTGTTTTGTCCTTATTCTCCTCTTATCTCATCACTGAAACTTAAAAAACTTAAGAAAATCGCAACATATTACATATCCCCCCTGCCATATTTACCCTTCCCTTCGGCCTAAATCAGCCGGCAACGCATTTTTCAAATAACCCCCCCTTTTTTTAATTATTTTAATTAGCTAAATAAATATATAGTACCCGGAAAATGAAAGTCTTCTCCCTCTCCCTCCCTCTACTCCCTATCTCTCTCCTCTTCCCATCGTCCTCTTCTCCTCTCAACCCTCTCTCTCGCGGCTCTCGCCCTAATCCCTCTCTCTCTCTCTCTCTCTCTCTCTCTCTCTCTCTTATCTTTGGTAGAGATGGCCTACCACAACCACCTGACGCAAGAGATAAACCTCCCACCCTACGCCGACCATCATCTCGTCGAAGACTCCCGGAAATCACCCACCGTCGCCGCCGCCGCAGCTGCCGCCGCCCAGCACCTTGCCGGCGGACCCTCGTGGCTCAACAACGCAACCCTCCGTCAACAATCCCACCAATTCGTCGACGGCAGCTTCCTCCACCTCCAAACAACCCCCGCCCCCTTCCGCAGCGCCGACGACGAAGTCCCCGCCTCCAGCGACTCCATAATCGTCGCCACCGCTGGCGATGAAGATACGCCGGCCGGCAGCGGTGAAGCGGTTGAAGGCACGTGGCAGAGGGCGAGATACAAAGCAGAGATACTCGCTCACCCGCTCTACGAACAGCTTCTGTCGGCACACGTGGCCTGCCTGCGGATCGCCACGCCGGTGGATCAGCTGCCGAGAATCGACGCCCAGCTCGCTCAGTCGCAGCAAGTTGTGGCCAAGTACTCTGTTATGGGCGGCCAGATGATGGCCGGAGATGAGAAGGAACTCGATCAGTTTATGGTTAGCTTTAATTCTTCTTCTTCTTCTCCTCTGAATTTCTTAATTGTTTTTCTCCGATTGATTCAAGTTTTTTTTTGGTCTTTTTTTTATCTGAATTGAAATTAGATGATGATAAGGTCTGCCCTGTTTTTACTGTGGTTAGAAGCTTCAATCTCCTGGAATTTTATTTGATTTTGTTCTTCGATCATCAATTTTTCTAGTGATGTAGAAAAATAATAATTTAAATTATGAGATTGTGTAAAATTGTTGGTCATTTGATTCAAATTTAACATAATTATACGATGAAGTTAAAAAAGGGTGTAGATACAACACTAACAACAAGCTAAGCCGGGTAGATAACAATTAATTATAATATGTATTTTTCATTTATTTTTGGTTTTTGAATATATATAAACATGAAATATTTGTTAATGGGGTAGAGGGAGCGGGGGGGTACCTAGGTCTGTGTTCATGCTATAAGTGCGGGGTTCATAGGCTGGGAGCAGCTCTACGAACTCTGCATCACCCATCCACAGTTTCTTCAGACTTTATTTAACTGCATTAATAAGTTGCAGAGGTTCGAATAAAGCTTATTTACTCTTTCTATGAAATTAGAAAGGGTTGGTTTCATTGGATCATGTATATATATATTTTTTTATTAGGGTGTTTGTTGCCTATAAAATCTATGGTATATAGGCACGTTAATCGGAAGGCTGAGGGAAAATTGCTTGGATGTGAGCTGAAGTTGTTGGTCAATTGGTGCTTGTTTGGAAAATATTTTGGGAGTTGGGTTATTTTGTTTAAATTTTGGTTTGGGAGTGCTGCTGTGGTTCTCATGGAGATTTATATAAGAAAATATAATAGAAATTAGAGTGGAGCTGATCAGGGCTTCGGTCAATTCAGGCTAAATCCGAAACGCTTTACGTAAACCCGGTTCAAACCGGCATGTGAACTGATGGACCAAATCAGTAGTTAAGGTCGGTGGACAATTTTGATTTTAAAATAACCGTTTGCTGATTGATTTATTTATTTATTTATTTTTGGCTTTTTTATTTTGGTTGAGAGGTTAGAAACAAAAGTGCTGAAGCTTCTTAGGATATAGGGTTGTTAGTACATATAACCAAATAAAAATCGTGTTTTTGTGGAGAAAATGTAGAAGAGATATATGAGTGTATTGAACTCAAGCCTCTGGTAAGCCGGAATATTGGGCTCATCGGAGATTTCTGAGCTACAAGATTTTTTAGTGAGAGAATGAGAGAAAGAACGAGAGGTCCTCAAAAATCCAGGAAAACTAGAGAAAATGGAGGCCTCAAAGAGAGCAGAGCCGAGAGTGCTTCATCTCTCTGTTTGACTTTTTTTTTTTTAATACAAAGTATAAAATACATTTAGTACTATATAATTCTCATCTCATCTATGGTGTCTTGATGAAAAGAGCTTGATGTGGATGTCAGGCGACACTTTTAAAAATGGATGGACATGTATTTTTGCTGGTAATAATGATCATCTCTTACAGTTGTATCTCTCTAAGTGGGCTAAACTACCCTCATGGGTGGAAGAGACGAATTCAACAACTCCTGCAGATAGACTCTATTCTACCATTTCGGCATGTGGGCTCAATTCAACCATTTTGACATATGAGTTTGGTTTAATATTTCGACAGGTGGGATCCAAAACATGCGTAAAATATCCAATAGAGCTGTCTTGTTGTATACGCAAAGATTGGGACGTGAATCACAAGCTGCACTTTACATAAGGATAGATGTATCTTCTTGTATGTAATTATCATCTTTTTCCGGTTATTGGTTCGTCTCTGGCTAGATCGGCTACTTCGGTAGGTGGCCTTAAATTGTCCACTTCAACCAGTGGGATCAGTTCGATAGGTGAGCAGAGTTTGGATTGGTGAGCTCAATTTGCCCACTTCGACAGGTGTGTTCACTTGTGAATGACATGATTTTTGTATATTGGCCTTCAAAACCCATAAAACCTGTCATACCCATGAAAAAAGCCTTATGCAAGTAAATGACAGTATCTGAGTATACATACACCCAAGTTCAAACTATGTCGAACTATATTGAACCATGAACCTAAAACCTATTATTCTTTTAGAAGCCTTGAGAGATCCATTTTATTAGGCGTAATATTTGAGGCGAGAAGAGAATTAAATGTAACTCATCATTGAAAAATGTTGGCTCATCAAGTTAAGTAAGGAATGTAAAGCCTTTTTTTTTTTTCTTCAAACGAAAAAAAAAGGAAAGAATGTAAAGTTCAATTTTACTTTTGTTGGGACAAAAAATCTGTCATAAAATTTTGAAATTATTTGGATAAAAATAAGCCTTAAAATCATGAAATTAAGTTTCTCTTAAATTAGTGCTATACATAATTTATATCATACTCATCGCAAAGCATCTTTTTTTTGTTTCCATTTTCATACATGATTTTATTTGAAAGCTGAGACTTCACTAAACAAATGCCTATTACGTCCTTAGCTACATTATTTCACCCAAACCGACTGCTCAAATTGGAATACCTAACTCATTTTTTCTATATTTTAGCCAATAAAGCAATTTATATATATAATTTTAGAAGAATTTAATATGTACTCATTAAGTCTGAAAAGCTCATCTAACCTTTTGAATCTGTTTAACAATTATAGTATTCGGGTTTCTGCCTTTTATAAATAAGCGAAATCATATTCCTTTGTTTGTTGCCGACCTCATTGGAGGTTCATACTACTGACAGTGACTTACGGAATGGTATAGAGGGTATGTACTTGGCTCCCAGTCATATAAAGTTTGAATTTTCTTGACTTTTTAATTGTGAATTTATAAAATAGCGAACTATATAATATATTATGTATTTACATGCATGCTACACAATTCTTATATATTTACATATCTTACACTTAAACCTTTATATTTACATACATAGCACCTAAATTCCTAACATCACTTCAAAAATGCCAACATCAATAGCCTTTTAAAAATGAGTACACATTATTTATGACACCAAAGTGCAATAAATGCAAATATGAAAGTTTAATTGTTAGATATGTAAATATTTAATAATTGTGCGTTATGTTCGTAAATTTTCTTATAAATATATGTAAAATGAGTATTTTTCTCTAAGCGTCTATGATTTTAGGCACTGTTCAAATTGAAGATTATTGATTTATTGCGATATATAATATCAGAATTATTGTGGATATAATTTGAATGTTTCATCAATTGTATTCATCTAATATGTGAAAAATATAAGATGATTGGATGACATATAAAAGCCCGTTTTGAGCGTTAGTTTTACTCACTTATTTAACCTATCATCCATTAAAAAATTTTATAAATTTTAATTCCTTATTAAATATTTTTTAAAACTTTTGAGAAATTACAAGACTCTAGCTTTAATGATTTTAAATCGATTCTCTCTCTAGGAATAGAAAGAAATCAATCATCTCACTCTCTCTCTCTCTCTCTCTCTGATAAATAGTTCATTTTGTCGGAGAATTTTAATACTGCAAGCACCATTGTGCTCATTTTTTTGTCTTCTTCTTCTTGTTCATGCTTGTCTTTAGAACTTTAACGTGAAGCTGACAGGAAGCTGATACTGCTCATCTGCTGGTTCTAATAGTATATTGTGTTGCCGTTATGTGAGTTCTCTCTGTGATTCAATGAACATAAAAAGTAATAACTTCCTGAGTTCATTTTACCATAATTGTATCTAAAATTTAACATGTAGGCCTAAGGTTTCAGTTTTTTTGACATCTATTCAGCCCCCTCCTCATATGGCAGACGAAGCATTGTTATTGGTTTTTTTGTAAATAAAAAAATATTTTTGAAAAATGAAATATCTACTAATTAAACTTTAAATCAAATAGAAAATTTTGTTTGATTATTGAAATAACGAAAATAGCTCCCAGCTTATTTTTTGAACCATTGAATCGGTGCATATATGTGTGTCATGATTAAACTGTTGGAAATTTGATAAAAAAGAAATATAGGGATTAGAGTTTTATTGTGAATTTTGATATATTGGAGTGACAATTTGGAAAATGGATGAAAATGAGTGCTAGTTTTGTAAATAGTAAAGTTTTGAGTGCTATGTGTATAATTGCACCTTATTTTTTTTTTCTTACGCCTAAATTTTGTTTTTGGATAGACGCACTATGTATTACTGCTTTGTTCATTCAAAGAACAACTACAACAGCATGTTCGCGTGCATGCAATGGAAGCCGTAATGGCTTGCTGGGAGCTCGAACAGTCTCTGCAAAGTTTGACAGGTAATTCCTTGCTATATTTTTCATGAGATTAAACACACATAATTGAAACAAATCATTGTTTATCCCATTTAAATTATTTTTATGTTTTTATTTTTCATTAGAGAGTAAATTAATTTTAAAATATTTGCCCAAGGGTCCAAAATAGTGATTCTATATTTCTATGAATTTTATGGAATATTTTGCATTTTTTTTATAGATCCATTCAAAATATTCAGTCTAATTCGTAAGTGTTATGCGAAAATAATACGGAAGCATAGAATTTCACATAATAACAATCAAACACAAAAAGACTCACGTGATTCAGTGTTAAGTTGATTTGCTTACGTCTATGGGGATGAAGATTTCACTAGCACCGGATGGGTGAAAGAAAAATGGTTTGGAGTTACAACACTCACTTCTTACCATATATATATATCTCATAAGCCTTTATGTACTTTTTATAGAGGAGGACTAGGACATACAAGTAAATAAAGTTAAAAGACCAAATTACCCATAATTATATAAATGTCATAAATACAACAATCTCCACCTCAATTCTTACTTCCAGATAAGTGAGAGATAACCAAATGAGCTCTCAACTTAAAATCAGCTGCACCAAGATAGTTGCTTACATCCCCCCTCCCTCCCGAAAAAATCAAGCATCGCGTTGTTCTTCAAAATGTATGATTGGGCAATCAATCCTGAGCTCGATTGTTCACCAAACTTCTGTAATATGTGAACATCTAGACTAGTAGTACCTTCCAGAGCATATCCGTTGGATTCTCCTTCGTATCTATCTTCTTTAACAAAAATTTTTCTTCTTCAATCAAGTTCCGAACAAAGTGATACCTCACATCAATCTGTTTAGTACGAGCACGGTGAATTGAATTTATGGCCAAGAATATTGCACTCTAACTGTCTTAAAACACCGTCAGAGACTCCTGATCAACTCTCAAGTCATCCAATAGGCTCTACGTCCATATCGTTTCCTTCATCGCCTCTGCGACTGTCATGTATTCAGCTTCCGTAGCAAATAAAGCAACAGTAGACTGAAAAAACGACCTCCAACTGACTGTACCTCCTGCCAATGTAAATAAATAGCCAGTCGTAGATCTCCACTTATCCATATTACTTGTATAGTCTGAGTTAGTGTAGCCTACATACAAATCTGCACTGGATGATTGTCTCTCAAACACCAAACCAACATCAATTGTACCCTTTAGATGCCTTAAAAGACTCTTCACAATATGCCAACGCTCCCTCCTTGATCATGCATGAGCCTACTCACAACACAAACTGCTTGTGCAATGTCTGGTCAAGTACAAACCATGACATACACCAGATTGCCCACTGCACTAATATAAGGAATCGATCACATATCTTTCGTCTCTTGGTAATTTTTAAAATATTGATCTGAACTCAACTGAAAGTGAGATGTAATTGATAGACTCAAAGCTTTGCTTGAGTCATCAACCCCAAATTTTTTCAGCACCTTCCAAATATAAACTCCTAGCGAAAGCCAAACTTTTCCAGTTGTCTTGTCCCTGACAATCTCCATGTCCAGAATTTTACGAGCTTCACTCAATTTCATCATTTCAAAATTTTTGAACAGTTGATTATTCAACCTATCAAACTCAATTTGACTGGCAGCTGTCATCAACATATCATCAACATATAGAAGCGAGTAAATGAACCCACTGTTGGCCAACTTCAAAAAGTTTTTCGAAAATATTACCCATCTTATGAAATATTTCCTTATTCATTCCGCAACTATTTTTTTTTTGTGCCATTTATATGGAGATATGCTCCAATCCGTTGTTTTTTTTAAATAGAAAGTTTTACGTACATACCACTCAATTTCTTATATATTTACGTACCTAACATCTAAGTTTCAATTTCTATATGGATGCCACCTTAAATATGCATAAAAGAATATATTTCAATTATAAAAAGTTAAAATAGTGACATTTTTTATGTGATACTAAAGACTTGGATGGTATAAATGCAATAAAGCAAAGTTTAGGTGTTAGATATGTAAATACATTGAAATTGGGTGGTATGTGTGTAAATGCCCACTTTTAATCAATATATATTTATAATAACTTTACAAAAGATATAGCCGCCTCTCAAACAGTTTCTCAGTTAACAATTTCGCCCATTGATTGGATTCATACGAGAATAGCAAAAGTTGTGCTTAGAAATTTAGGGTCTGAACAAGGTTTGTCGATTGCTAGAAAAATAATTTAACAAATTCAGCTTTGCAGTCCCGATCAGCATCAATTTTTGTTTTTGCACAAAAAAATCGCAGTTTAAGAAAATTGAATTTAAGACTTTGAGGCACCCTGACAATTTTTCTTAAAATATTTATGCAAGGGCTTCGCTCACAAGTGGATGCATGTCTACCCCCTCCTCCACAATGCATAATCTTACTTCATCTATTTAAAGAGCGTTTTAAATGTTCTTAAATATTTTCTTTCTTATGATTTATGCCTATCCTTTGATTCTTATAAGATCTATGATGATTATGCAATGACACTTTGTCAAACTATTTTTTCCACAATTTAAAGTAATAATATTGTACAATTTCCATTTAAATATTCTAACTTATATGCATTTGTAAAAGTTACTTGAAACTTTTATTTTGTTTAACTTAACATCAAATTGCTAGGTGTATCTCCTGGCGAGGGCACGGGCGCAACTATGTCAGACGATGACGAAGATGATGATCAGGCGGATGGCGAAACAAACTTCTACGATGGAAGTTTCGATGGCTCGGACAATATGGGTTTTGGCCCTCTCGTTCCCACCGAAAGCGAAAGATCACTGATGGAGCGTGTCCGACAAGAACTAAAACATGAGCTAAAAAATGTAAATCAATCATATATACAACTAGCTAACAATGCATGCTTTAATAACATAATGCTACTAATCAATCTTCTATACTCTTTAGGGATACAAGGAGAAGATTGTGGACATCAGAGAGGAGATTTTACGTAAGAGGAGAGCAGGGAAACTCCCGGGCGATACAACTTCTACTTTGAAAGCATGGTGGCAGTCTCATGCCAAGTGGCCTTACCCCACGGTCTGATTCTATATTCTATTAAAAAAGTTTTTGGCAGCCCTTATCTAAAAATACTTCTAAAAAATGCTGTTCAAAATATTTAAAAAATGCATAAAATATTTAAAATCACTATTAAAAATCTTTACAGCACTAGCAATTACAGCAATTTAAAATCTACTGCAATGAAAATAATAGGAGCTTTTACCGCTGTGATTGTCTGTATGAAGTGCTGTGAAAATTCTCTTTTCAAGTAGTGATAATTTATTTCAAAGTAATTTATAACGTAATATCAACAATAAATAAAATTATGCCAAGTATTTGTAACATTTTAATGCTCCACTAAAATCAGGAGGATGACAAGGCAAGGCTAGTACAAGAGACTGGGTTGCAGCTGAAGCAAATCAATAACTGGTTCATCAATCAAAGAAAGCGAAACTGGCACAGTAATCCATCCTCTTCAAGCACATTGAAGAGCAAGAGAAAAAGGTGGGTCTAAAAGGCTAAAATTTCGTATGATGAAATTATTTGGTGCATTTACATACATACCCACACAACTCAAATGTATTTTCATATACTTAAACTTTCATATTTACATGCATAACACTGAAACCAAAGTGCTATTAATATAAATATCAAAATTTAAGTTTTAAATATGTAAATACATAAGAATTGTGTGATATGCTAGTAAATTTCTCTCTCTTTTTTTTTATATATCTAATCAATTATCATAATTGAACCCTTCATCTGCCTACTTGAGTTTATAAGCAAAGGAATGCAGGTGACAGGAACATTAAATGATAGAAGGCACAGAAGCTGAATTGGCGGTGTTTTGGTCTGAAATTAAAAAAGGCATCCAACACAAATCAATTGATATCAAAACAGGAAGGAGGTAGCTCTGAATGTAACTTGTTCCTACTGTGGAGATAGTATGCAAATTTGTTACAAGCAAGAAGTAATGTTTGTATCTTAACGGAAAAATGATCCATGGTTAACATCACATGTTCAAATTTGTTTGCAAACTTTATACTTTTTTTTCTTAATTATCAGCTAAATTAAATTTAATTTTGATGTTTTGCATGTTTTCGCTGAGAAAAGTATATTGGTGTGGTTGTATAATGTGATGATGTTTACTGCAGCATACTAATGACAGTGTCTAGTAGTTTATGTTGATAGTGTGTAGGGGACTTTTTGACCAACTAAAATACATTAGTGATATGGCTTGGATTGTTGTATGCATTTTGATTTAAATTTAAACTCTCTATGCATGTGTTTCCATCATTAGCATAACCCTAGTTTTTACGATAGTTACTGAGTCAATTGTATGTTTGGTTAATTACTTAGAAATGGGTTAAATCGGAAAATGATCGCCCGATTATTTGTATGTAGCCAATTTAATTCTAAAGGAAAATATTTATCTAAGTTAATCACTTAACTATATAAAATTGATCGAAAATGATCCCTCAAGAGTCTTTTTTTATAGCTTTTACAAGAGTGATCATTTTGCATCATTTTTTGTATATTTGAGGGGCTAAATTGGTGCACTATGATGTTTTGGAAATAAATATATCGCATATGAAAACTAAGACTACTTTAGAGTTTAATCTTTTATAAGTTGTGAAGCTTTAGACAGTAGAGGCACTACTTGTTGCACTCAAACTTCAAGCTGGAAGATTAAATGTAAAGTAGAAAAAAAGGGGGCATTTACATACGTTCAGCACAATTCTTATATATTTACATATCTAACACCTAAACTTTATTTTTTACATATTAAACAAACAAATATTTTATATCACATCAAAAAATACCACTATTTTGACTTTTGAAAAGTAAAATACACATTTTTATGCATACGTATGACATAAGTAAAAGTGGAAGTTTAGGTGTTAGATGTGCAAATACATAGGACTTGAGTGGTATGTATGTAAATCTTCTATAATAAAAATGTTATTTAAGATAGTCGACATAAATCCCACAACAACTAGCACTAATATGCAAGTCGGTAATGAAATTTCAATCTATTGAGAAGCAGGGGAAGGAATCCTTCATTGATAAGTGATGTTTTGCTGACTATTCTAAAATTTACATGGGTTGTAATAAGGTTTACACTTGAGTGTTTTAGAAGTAGAAATCATTGAAATATGCATTACTTCATAGAATGGTACTTATGACTGCTCCATAATGTTGATCTTTGTATGGTTCTTGCCCCATAAGAAGCTCCCACATCATAATACCAAAAAGGAGAAAGTGTCAAAGAGAGAGGATTATTTGACACTTTTATAGATTGCTAAGACTATTAGCATAAAAATATGCACACAAACTAAAGGTTCTAAAGAAGTGTGCCGAAGGATCATTTAATATATAAAGAACAACCCAATGAACACTGGCAATAGAAGAAATTAATATATTGATAATGTGAATAATATAGGCAATATAGTATTGGTGAAATGAACCAAGCAACTAACAATAGTATACAATAAAGTGGGTTCATTAAATGACATGCAATACGAAGGTGAACACTAAAATTTTGAGTTTAAGTGATGTATTAATAGTCCTTGCATTACTAAGATGAACAAGTCAAAAATAACAACTGCATACTTAGATTATGCAAGAAGATAATTTTAAGACAAAGAGCCAATTAAATATTGAGAAATAATGTAAATGACTCTAAAGTATTGCATTTTAAACCAAAATTCTAATTCATACTATAGTCTGAAGCATGTATCTCATAGTCTAAAAAGTGTTAATTTGATTCCTATACGCTTTTAATATGAGCTAAAATAGTTTCCAAGGAGCATTATTTTAGTTTCAGCTAAGAGAGTGTAGGGATTAATTTGACACTTTAATAGATTTTGGGGAAAAAATTATCCATTGTAAATAGTCAAGTGACGATTTTGGTACTTTACTAATACAAAAAATAAAGACATCAAATTGGATGTGGTGAAAAGATGATAAGAATTTTAAGTGTTCAAAAGAGGAGCATTAATCGATATGTTCTTACATTTGGATTGTTTATGAATAACCTTCTTAAAAACCAAGTTGTGGTTATGATTTAGAAGTTTAGGGGCCAATAATTAGAGTTTTAGTCACATACCACCATATATTACTGATTTACATTTCACTTTTAAGAGATCAAGATCAAACCCATAAAAAATATGAATGATTAAACACATAATATGAAATATCTTGCCATTCGACAAAAAATGACTTCCTTTAATACAAAAAGACATTTACAAGTTTCAATAATTACTTTGTTTAATAACTAAATAGTAAAAAATGATTAGATACTTAATAAATTTAGTGAAGGTATCTTCTGAATTGAAAGGATATTTGCTCAACTAAAAAACATTTGATTTCTCGGCCATCACTAACCCGTCACCCCCTTCCTTATCAAACATGTACCGTAAGCACAAAGTGCTCATATTAGTCTCTTGGCTAGTTGTGTGATGTGAAAAATTAAAAACTTGTTTTGTTAGGATTTAAGTTAAATTAAGAAGTGTGGTTAAATTTTTTGAATTGTAAAGATGATAAAAAAAAAATTGTATGACTGCATTTAAGCCTAGGGTGTTTTTGGGCTAGCTTTTTTAGCGCTTTCCATTTTGAAAAGCTACGAGAGAAGAATTTGGGGCGTGAAGTTTTCAGAAAATTTCATAAAATCACATCCATGGAACATCATTTTACGAACGAAGGTGCATTACACGATCATTCTGCGACATAGTGGCTAAAAAGACTGTGTTGCCCTTGCTAAATTTACAAAATTACTCACCTAACTGATAATATTTAAGGCATTCTTCATGAAATATATTAGGGATTTTTGGGTGTCTACACCAGCCGAAGCACTATGTACTCCTCTTCCACATAGCTACTTCTACCTTCAATCCTTTGCCCTAGGTGGCTTTGAGCTATGCTTCTCTCACAGAATTTGATGAGTGCTTTAGCTTTGCTTTCCTTACAAACGGAGGATTTTTTCTTCCATCTCTATTGATTGATCTATGTGATTTGGGAATTTGATGAGAGTTTCATCATTTGATCTATGTGAGAATTTGAATGCAGAAGCTTTTAAATGATTGCATTTTTGTGAAAAAACAAATCATTTTTTCTTGGTATTCATCTAGCTTTATTGTTGATATTTTTTTTTTTTAAAATTTGATTGAATTCCAAATGAGGAGTTTTAAAATGGTCTCAAATACTTATTATGTTGTTTTCGCCTAGTTGTCCATTTCTAGGTTGATATGTGATTTTCGGCTAGCTTCTTCATGGGCTTCTTTCTCTTTGTTGCTTTTTGTTTGTTGCTTCTCTAGTCTAAGAACAAATACTCACTAATCCCTTTTCTTTCCCTTCTATTTTATCGGTTTTCTTATGCTCTACCTGCTTCCTTTTGCTTTACTCGATGTAATAGAGTAAATACTCCTTAGTCTCTTGGCACTACTTTGCTGGTTCTTTGGAGTTTTATATAACTCTTTGTTTTCTTTTATTAAACTGATGAACAAATATACATGGTTCTTAGCTATCTCTTTAGTCCATTATGACCACCATATTTTTAGATATTATACTTTCTTGGACAACACAAGAGTTCTTCATTTTGATTAGTTGATAATTTTTTTTAGAATTTTGATTGAATTCAAAATTAAGAGCTTTAAAAGGTCCCCAAATGTTTGTTATGAGATTTTTAGCTAGGTGCTTACAAAGATTGTATTGGATATTTGTTGTTATGTAGTTTTCAACATGAAATGCTTATTATTGTTGAAACTTTTAAGATTTCTCAATTATAGATTTTATTGGTGTTTGATTCCTTATTTTAATGCAAAAGTGATGTTGTCAATTATAGCTTTGATTTGAAAGCTTTTTTTGTCTCACTTGAGTTTGGGTTACTATAATGTGCTACTTAATTGATTTATATGTACCATTAGTGGTTCAAATATTCATTTTGATGTCCAATTATGCCAACTCTTTTCATTATTATTTAATTCGTCCATGCACTTCCTTAAAACACAACATGTAGTAATAAATCAAAACTTATACAAATGAGTTTTTGTTTAATTGTCATACATTTAGGATAATATGTTGAACTATTTCATATGATAATGCTACAATATATGTTATTTATTATGTGGGTATTGATTGTGTTGCTTTGGGTATCTTCAAAGGAATTAAATATTGCAAAACTTTGATGTTAAAAAAAAATATTTACAAAGAGCTCCATCGATTACCAGTTGTTATTCATCTTGTGTTTTTAGTCATTTGTTTCATTAGATTCCTTTGGTGATTTGTTGTCAATCGATTACCAGTTGTGATTCATCTCTTAGAGTGTGTTGTATTGTCATTTATTTTATATATTTGAATCTACATGACACATTCAACACCAGATATTATCTGATCTTACTCTTACAAATAATATTTGTTAGTATGTATGTTCTACAACCTATACGACACACTCCTCCCTAGATAATATTTGATCTCAATCAACATATTATCTTTGCATCATGCTTTCTATATACACAGTGATGATGGGTATATTATAACTGTTTATAGTGATATGATATTGTGAAATGTTTATATACAAGAAAAGCTCGTTGATATATTTCAGCCTGCACAGGAGGATGAATCGATTGGCTTTCCTTAAAATAAGTTAGTTATTGGTGTAAACCCGATACATTTTTAGAGTCATAAAGCTAAATATGATATGATATGAGTGCTGACCAGTAGGGTTGACGACTCCCTTGTACTATGTCACTTGAATGGTTGTTCTAATAGTTTTTATCAACAAGATATGCTATGATATTGTATCTGCTTTACTATGATCGATATAGGGAAAATACCCCATATGATTAGCCAATTCACTTAACTTATATATTATATGTGGATGATAGTTATGATTGATGATATGCATATTCTTACACTGTTACTATTGTGATTTTATATCATATTATTACTACATATCTTACAGTATACATACATACATACATACATACATACATACATACATACATACATATATATATATATATATAT